GATCAGACGGAGTTGCATAGCTTAAACAATTTGAAAAAAAGAAAAAACAAAAACTTAAATATTTACAGGAAAATATTTTATCAAAGATAAACAAGTACTTATTTTCTCCAAAAATTATTTAAAACACACGTACAACCCGAAAATAGACAAAACAAATAAGCAATGGAAGAGAAAGAGGTAACTGAATGGAACTAGTAAAGTGCGTCATATCAAGTTATTTGTATCAAATAATGGCTAGATTACTTTTCTTTCCTTTGTCAGTTTTGACGACGATGAGGATAACAGATTTTTCTTAACTCACTGAGAAATTAAAATACTTCTGGGAGAGCGTTTTTTTTTTTGTTTTTTTTTTTTTACTGTGTTTTGTTCTCATTTATAAAATGAAAATTTTACAAGTCTCATATTACAGAGTCTCATTCAAAGAAAATAGTACTGAAATGCTACGTACTATGTGTTAACAACCGTACGTAATACACGCTTGGGCGTTCATGCATCTCTCGATTCATGACTGACAAGGCAGAAGATATTCCCGCAGTAGACTGCCGTTTCTTTCTGCAGTAGACTTGTTGCCACCTAAAGCTGAAGGAACCAGTCTACCCTGCTGCTCAACCCATAGCTGGAGGAAGAGAAGAGATGGATTCATACTTTTTCCAACGGCATTTTAAGTGAATCTAGCGAACGCGACTAGATTTTCACTCTGATTTCACATTCCGTGTCGTTATCCATTACACCCCTTAACGCACATCACGTAATATTAATCCTCCTATAAAACACAATGGATTTATCGATTTATTTTTCATACAATCTGGTCACCTATTATTGGTAATGACGTAATCTATTGTCATAGTTTTTTGACGTCAGCGAACACTCGTTGCAACTTTTGCAATGTCAACAAATACTCCTTGTCACTTTTGTTATAGTAGAGACTTTGTAATCGCAGATACAACTATAGTAACGCCGTTGAACAATACTGGTGCCATATGCCTTTGAATAGCACACGCACTAACAGTAATTGCTCGATAATACTCGCTCGAAAAGTAACCACAGAATAGTAATCCTTGTAGAGAAAAGAATAACGATCCGTGTAGCAATAGAGGATAGACTAGAAATAGCGATCATTTAGACGTCACGCGACTTCCCATATATGCATTTCTTCTATGGTCATGTAGTTTACTTAATTCAATAATGGGATCACTTGTGTTTGCACACTGGCGATCTATGTTCAAACTCATGTGTTGTCAGCGACACTTTATTCCTATATAACATATTTAGACGCTATCCTACACGCACATAAGATCATATCAGACACGCATTCTTACAGGATGATATTAAGATGATATTTGTACATAATTAGACGAAGAATTAGCCATATATTTATACGATATCACACACTTATATTTTGAAGATATTACAATGATATTTGTGTGACGTCACCCCGGGGTCGCTGCGCCAAATGTGACGTCTGCCTGGCCACTCCCGCCGTGCTGTCCTGGTCGCGGCGCCAATTGTGACGTCACCCCGTCTGTCTCCGCGCCGTCGCCGTCCTATCCTGTCCTGTGACGACCAATGTGACTTGGTATTGGTCGCGGCACCAAATGTGACGTTCTAACCTTTTGCTGATTCGGATGGGAATCTGGTTAGATTCGGTATCAGCCTTGTCGTTCCCAGCTCGCCTCCAACGTCTGGTTACCCATAGTGTCATATTTATACATAATTAGACGATGCAATATCCATATATTTATACGATATCACACGCTTATATTTAGAAGATATTACAATTTATTCCTATATAACATATTTAGACTCTATCCTACACGCACATAAGATCATATCAAACACGCATTCTTACAGGATGATATTAAGAAGATATTTGTACATAATTAGACGAAGTATCCATATATTTATACGATATCACACGCTTATATTTAGAAGATATCACATACGAATAGGTTAGCATACTGTTACCGAACCTGTAAGCTGACCCAGAATAGCAAAGCACTGTTCATAAGACCCCGTGGACGGGAAATAGCGTTCGTATTTATGTGTTTCCTCTATGGTCACGTGATCTACTTACTTCAATAATGAGATCACTTGTGTTTGCTCACTGGCGATCTATGTTCAAATTCAAATGTCGGCAGCGACACTTTATTCCTATAGAGCATAATAACAGGACGTATTACTACACGCTAATAAACGAACACTCCTTGTATTACCGTAATAATGGAATATCTCATTAGTCTTTTTATTAGAACAGGTTACACTGATATTTTTTTTTAATTTTCTTTGCTTCGTGTTAGCTTCCTTTGTATATTTTTTTTACTTTTAACTTTTCACAAATCAAGGTTCTTCCTGACATTCCAAAGCAGGGTTAATTCTATAGGAATTAAGCCTCACTCATTTCTCGAAATCTGTATTCTGATGATTGGTTAGTTAATTACTGTATTGAAAAAAAAAGTAGAGTCGATAAAATTTTCAGAGCCTACCCACATACATAAAAATATCCAAGATGATTCATTGAAAATTGATATAACCAATGTAATTTCTTATGTCTATATATAAAACAGAGGATGTCTGTCTGTCTGCGTGATACCTTTTCACTCGAAATCCATCCAACCTATTTTGACCAAACTTGACACACATTGTACAATGTAAAAGATAGGTTCGTAGCGTAAAAAATAGATAATTTTAAAAAATCAATAATCGATAAAGCCGATCAAAAATCGATAAATTCAACTTTTTCGTTCGATTTCATTCAAACTCGGTATGTAGGTTAGTTATATCGTGGCAAGCTCAACGATACCTCATTTTTATTTCTACGCTACTGCGTTTAGCGAAAAACCGCAAAACGAAAAATCGATTTCAACACAAATTTTAAACTTTTCAAGCAATCTAAAACAAACTTCACTCAATTGTAGCCAACAATAAGTTGATTGTTTACCAGTCATTTAACTTGATAATTGAGTCCACCCATATAGTGAAAACCTACGTAAGTAGCGAAAAATGGCGATTTTTACTGGTTTCTTCCTTATTTTTCGTTGATCTTTCAAACAATTGTCATCAAACTTAACAAGTGATTTATAAATGTATCCTCTTTTCCATCCCTGGTAGTTCACTGACAAACTGAATTTAAAAAACTCTAAAATAATGGTGGCCTGAAGTGGGTATTCATGTTGCCTGTTTTACCCCTTCATGTCCTCGGCTAACTTCATTTGAATAAGTACAGACTACTTCCATTATATCAGTAACTGCATTAATTCAAAAAGTTTTCTTTTAATGAAAGTCCTTTAAAGTAATTGAAGAAGAGAGACTTTGTTACATGTAAACATGATGCTGTTTTTGCTCCATTCTAATTGAACGCTTTTTCTGATCGACCAGTTGGATATGGCTGCTAGTTTTTAATCAGTTGGTCCGAATTAAGTCGATAAGACGGAAAGGGTCACTGGAAAGAAGTGAAAGAGAATGAAAAAAAAAAGAGTGAGAAGAAAGAAATACAAAAGGACAGGATTCAAGGAGACAGAAGTTTCTGATTGACTTTGCAGTTAATGTGTTGAACATTGTTGGTTAATTTTGTTTAGCGGCATATCAACATCTCTATTAATACCGAAATCGGAATATTTTGAGTAGAATATCATGGCTTCAACTAAATATATTTTGAACGCAATTTCATGCCTTCAACTACATAGAAAATTCTACTATAAAATGCATTTTCAGTCATTTTCCTATAACTGTGCATAGTTGGTAATGTATATAAATAAATCCAACGTTTAAAAGCCCCAAATCTACTTTATAGAAATTTGCACCGTATTTAGTCTGTCCCCCCACTAGGACGAGATGTGACACAAGGAGTATTTTTAGGTGGGGACCCGAGCGCGTACACCCGAGACAGGAACAAAAATTCCTCTCAGCCTCAGACAGCTGTTCCCCAGGGCTGGGCACCTCTTCAGTATTATTTTCCTCTGTTGCCCCTCTGTCCTTTGACAGAGAAGCCGCTGACCGCACTGTGTCCAATGACAGAGACGCAACTGAGATATGATAAGTAAACGTGAACTTACTCCAAACGAGTAATTTGTATTTACTCAACCCCACCACGAGGTCAGGTTGTGACACAAGGTCGGTTTAATGTGGGGAGCCCGAGCGTGTGCACCCGGGCAAGGAACAAAAATTCCCCGAGCACCCGCAACCGTCTGTACCGCTGACCTCGTTGCGTGCACCGATCCTTCTCTCTAGTGCAATGAGAAGGTGCGGCTTCGAGCAGCTGTTCCCCAGGGCCGGCACCTCGCAGTATAATTTTTCTCGGGTTTATCTATTTTTCTACGCGCCGCTGGCGAATCTTATATGCGTTGTTCTTGTCCTAAGTATTATCGTTCATCACTAACCTTTGATTGATTATTCTATTCAGTAACCTTCCCTAAGTTACAACACTAATGCAGCAAATATCCTCAGTTCAATTGCAAAATGGCTTAAATATAACCGTCATTTATTGAGGTTATATTCAACGTGTAATACTATTAATCACTAATTTACAAAAATGATTGCTGATAACTTTTGCACACACTTAATATTTGGATAAATAAAGAAGAAATTCTTCGTACTCTTGAGAAGAAAAAACAACATTAGTATATCGGCGTTTTCTTTGTGTTTCTCTGTTCAGTCTATTGTTTTGTTAGTCACGATGTTTCAATCGATGTCTCTGCACTTGGTCGGGTGAAATTGAAAGTTCAATTTGTTGAGGTTAAGACGTAAATAAAACCTTTGTGAAATTGTCTACAGGATTTTGTTGAACACTCCGATGGGATGCTAGAGAGGTGTTTCAATTGATAGATACAGAGACACACAGACAAGGTAAGAGAGGAAAAGACATCCAAAGCAAACAGACCAGACAAACAATTGAGAAAGAAACAGGCATAGAATGATATGGAATCACTAAAAAGAAAAAAAAACAAGTCGTGGTGAATATATGTAAACAGAAAAAGATAGATAGATAGATATGAACAGACTTG